TTTATGCCCACAGACTAAGAGTGTATAGTCAGGATAAACTACTTTATAAAACTTATTTCATATAAATTGAAAAAAAACATGTTATGTACACAGTGCAAGTACCGGAAGTGGAAAGACTCTGGTCCCGTTTTCAATATATGGGGTGCGATGACAGAGGAGTACTCGATGACGCGACACTGCAACAGCGAGTCAAGGACGATTTATTTTTGAAACAAGTGAGTAACAATATAAAACAATACAAACACACACACAAAAATGAATGAACGAATGAATGAATGAATGAAACAGTGACCGTTCTAAATGATACGGACTGAATCAGTGAGTGAAACTATGAATGATTGACCGTATGTCGATTTAGGTTACCAAACTACTATTCAATTCAAACTACGATTTCTCCAGATAGTTCGCTACTTTCCCAGAGACAGGGAAGGGAGTCTGCATTTCCAAACGTTTTGCAATGCCATGAAATGGTTCCAACAACCAGATCCATTCGATCACGAAAATTCACAGGAAATCAAACTAAGGGGTAAGCAAACAACAAATATATTGAAATTACACTGCCAGGAAAGCCAACTGACTAAGATTAAAATGATTTATAAATACTATGTACAAATATGAAAGATGTGTTTTTGGTACTTACATCAGTTTCTTCTCCATGTATTTCAGCCATTTTCAAAGTCCTTAACGGAGGAGAGAGTGTCTCCCAAGATTTGTTAACTAATGTTTTATCTAAGATTTATCTCGGCGAATCAAGGGTAAGACATTATTATGCCTATTTATCCATGTCCACACGATTACCATATATGGGTATTATTATAATCCATTATTACCATATTTGAACTGAATATTTGTTTATCGGTTTATTCGGGTGTTGCCATATTTAGATGTTATATCGGAAAATCTCAAATCGTTAACATATTTGGATATTGCTTTATGGCAAATATAATCATAGATCAATTCCGCTCTATTGTTATTTAGCATTTTCGCATACGGACGAGCAGTAATATAATAATTTCATGTGAATATTTCTATCTCTTTTTAGGAGGACCTGAGTCTCCGATCACAACTTCTTATGGCGTGTATAGATGATAAAAAACAAGGTAAAAAAAATACTATACTATAAACGCAAATCTTACTCAGCGATAAAGAAATTATTTTGTTTAGGCAAATAATCACCGAGCACAAGTTGTCGAATTAGTTTGGAGAATTTCGTGTAGTACGTATGTGTATAGAATCCAAGGTAAGATGCATGCAACCTGGTCGCAAGTTTCGTTCCGCTCTTCTGGTCCAACGGGACGATTCTGGCCCAGGTTAGACGCATTTGTCGAACCCTGCCCAGTGTAATCATAGCATAGAAATTGTATTCAATACATGTCTCGCCCCCACAAAAATGCCGGCTAAAACGAGCTTTGAAATGTAATTCATTGTCTATGATGACATGAGGCATCCGAGATCGACTTACACAAAGTTGTGTAACCAAACATCGCGTCACACGATTCCATATTGATGTAATTGACCATTAGAAGTGATATATAGAAAGATTAGAACAGTTACTATGGGTACCAATTGTCTATATTTCACTTCCATCCTTTTCAATCGCAGGAAGAATTGACGAAGAACAATTTGTCCGATGGATGAAGAAATTACCACGTGACTCAGTCCAGTCTATATTAGAGTTTTCGATAGTACCCCAAGAATTGAAAGATTTTGCGGCAGGCTCGATGGGAGCAGCTGGGGTAGACGGCAGGTATAATCCCACCAAAATTGGGACGTCACAACTATCCCTTCGGACGATACGTGAGGTAAGTGTCACTGTATTGATGACTGTAAGGGATGTAAATGCTAGAGAGGACTTCAGGTGTAGATGGCTGTTAAAGAGTGTGGCTTTGGGTATTATAACTCAGCCTTGCAGAGAGAGAAAAGGAAGCCGGGAACCTAATCGATACACACATACAAGCATGTACGAGTGGAGAGTCGTACACTAGTCAGATTTAGGTATCAAAACGTGAAGGTTTATTAGAACACTGGAAGACTATGGATTTAATGTCGACCGAATACACTAATTTAGCCAATCAGTGGAGGTCAGTTGATGGCACAAATGATTACAATTACACTAGATGATGTCTCTATCTCAGCAATATGTTCTCCGACATGACATTTTCATGGATATTTTTTCAGAACTGTCAGTTTCTAACCTGTTTGAGATGTCCCATTGAATAACGTCTCCTTAAATTTAATATGTATATATGACTCACTGCAATTACATACTCATAGACAACAATGTGAAAACCCAAAATAAAACAAAAATGAATAAATGGTTCGTCTGGTATTTAAATTCAAACATTAAAAGATATTATCACATTAATCCCAAAGATGAGCCTGATAACACGTGTCCGCTCTGGCACTGGCAAGTTGACTCTGCCGAACACATGTAGAGTTTCACTTTAGCTCAAGTGACAAATTCAAGGTTTGGTT